TCCCTCCTGATGACATTTCTAAAGAAACCAAACCAAAGTCTTGCCATCCTCATTTCTAAGGAGGATTATATTTCTTCTGAGATTAATTTTTTTCATTCCTCTGGAAGCCCAAGCGTATTCAGTATTCATGGAATAACATTTGATTTCTTGACTGCTGCTTCCATGGACATTGTGGATTCAAGTAGAATGAAATCACTGACAACTTTGCTTTCTTCTTCACGTACCATGACGGGGTTTATCAGACCCTTTGTGAGAATTTTCATTTTCTTCACCTTCAGCTGTAATCCATATTGAAGAATGTAGTCTTTGACCTTCATTAGTAAATGTTCAAGTCACCTTCATTTTTGTCAGAGTGGTGACATCTGCATATTACAGGTTGTTAGTGAGTCTTCCTTTAGTCTTGACACTGCATTTTTCTTCCTGTAGTCCAGTTTCTCAGATTATTTAGTCAGCATACCGATTGAATATGTAAGATGAAAGGTTTCCACCTTGCCCCACTCCTTTACCAATTCTATCTTAATTACTCTTTGGAATAAATCTTGATAAGTCTTCCAGTTTGTTCTTCAGGGTGTCTTAGCTATTCTTAGTCTTTTACTTTCCCAGATCCATTTTAAAATCAGTTTGTGAATTTACACCAAAAACATTTTTGGGATTTTGATTGGGATTGGATTGATCTAATGGATCAGTATGGGGAGAACTGACATATTTACAGTATTGACTCTTCCAGGCCATAAATGTGATATGTACCTTTTTTGATTTAGGTTCTTTTAATTTTTTTTGTAATGTTTATAATTTTCTCTGATAATTTTAGATGCTATTGTAAATAGCATCTTTAAACTTTTATTTTCTAATAGTTGCTGGGGAGCTCTGGTGGCATGCTACCCAAGGAGACATTGGACTGCTAACTAGAAGGCTGTCAGTTCAAACCCACCAGCCTCTCTTCAGAAGCAAGACTGGGCAATCTACTTCCATAGAGGTACTGCCTCAGAAAGCCAGTGAAGGGTCACTTTGAGTCAGAACTGACTCTCTGGCAGTGAGTTTGGTTTTGGTTTTTACTGTGGCTGGTATATAGAAACACAATTGATTTTTGTATATCGACCTTATGTTTAGCAAAATTGCCAATTCATTTACAAATCTCATAGCTTATTTGTATTTTTTTTTTTAATGTACATAGTTGATTCAAGTGTGCATAAGGAAATATTCCACACACACACACACACACACACACCCATAATCCCAACATCTTTTTTCTTCTTTTTTTTTCAGTTGTGTTTTTGGTGAAAGTTTATAGAGCAAGTTCATTTTCTTTAGAACAGTTCATACACATTTTGTTTCATGACATTGATTGCAGTCCTCACAATGTAACTCTCTTCCTACTTCCTCCCTGTGACTACCCTTTCACCTGTCCCTTTCCTATGCATTCCTGCCCTCTGAGCTGTCTGCCTATTTAAGTATTGCCCTTTTGATCTTTCATGGTTGATTGTTCTAAGGAATCAAATTATGTATAGCATTGGTCAACTGTACTGCAAAAGACCTCTCTAAAGTCTTAAAGAGCAAAGATAACACTTTGAAGACTAAGGTGCACCTGACCCAAGCTTTCATGTTTTCATTAGCCTCATATGCATGTGGTAGCTGAACAGTGAACAAGGAATATTGCAGAAGAATAGATACCTTTAAATTATGATGTTGGCAAAGAATATTGACTATACCATGGATGACCAGAAGAACCAACAAATTTGTCTTAGGTGAAGTAAGCCAGAATGCTCCTTACAAATGAGGATGATGAGACTTTACCTCTTTGACTTTGGTCATGTTGTCAGGAGAGACCAGTTCCTGGAGAAGGATATCATGCTTGGTAAACTAGATGGTCAGTGAAAAAGATGAAAACCCTAAACAAGATGAATTGACACAGTGGGTGCAACAGTGAGCTCAACACAGCAATGACTGTTAGGATGCAGTATTTCGTTCTGTTGTACATAGGATTGCTATGAGTTTGAACTTATTCAGTGGCAGCAATGAGCAACAGTCTTGTGAGACATTTCAAAGTTCTGTCTAATGTTCTATAAATTTGGCAAAGCTCTGGGAAAAATCAGCTTCAAATTTTAGACACGGCATTCTGGATATTAGTTTTCTTCTAATTCTTTACTGCCTTAATAGATTGGTGGGACTTTCAAGTATCTGTGTTTATCATTATTTTTTTGTTGTTGTCCTCAGTAAGAGACTTGGACTGGATTAGGATCATCATACTGGTAGAAGTTGCTTTGTGTATACAGTTTTCAATTGTAATTGTTTAAGAGTTTAAAAAAATAAATAATACCCTTAAGTTCATAATGAAACAAAACAGAAACCAGCAATCCTTTGTTCTGTACTTTTCTGTTTTTCAAAGGCTATCACGTTCACATCTTTTAAAGGGTTGTTGTTAGCTGACATCGAGTCAGCACCCAAACCATGGTGACACTATGTACAAGGAAACAAAGCTCTCCAGTCCTGTGGCATCCCCAGGATTGGTTGCAGATCAGCCTATTGTGATCCATAGAGTTTTCATTGGCTGATTTTCACAAGCGGATCTCTGGGCCTTTTTTTCTAGTCCATCTTAGTTTAGCGGCTCTGCTGAAACCTTTTCAACATCATAGCAACATGCAAGCCTCCAATAACAGTGGCTATGAATGATTAAGTGCATTGACTAGGAATTGAACCTGGATATCCTGCATGGAAAAGTAAGAATTCTAACTTTAAAGCACACCTGCCCCCTCTCTAGAAAGAGTAACTCTAAGAGGCAAAATTTTAGACATGTCTGGTAGCATAGTGCCTAAGGCACTTGACTGCTAACCAGAAGGCTGGTGGTTCAAACCTACCAGCCACTGCTCAGAAGGAAGGTTGGGCAATCTACTTCAGTAGTGATACTGCCTCAGCAACCCAAGGAGGGGTCGCTTTGAGTCGGGTTGGACTCGATGGCACATAACAACAACAACAGAGTGTCTGAAAATGACTTTAGTTTACCATTATCTTTGACAGATATTTTAACAAAGGTGAGTATTATCTCAGAAATTGAAAGGCAATTCTTCATTATTGTCTGATTTCAAGACTACTGTTAAGAAGTCTGATGCCATTCTTATTTTTCATTGTTGGAATATAACTATTCTCACCCAGGAACTCTGGTGGCGTAGTGGTTAAAAGCATTCGGCTCCTAAGCAGAAGGTTGATAGTTCAAACCCATTAGCTGCTCCATATGAGAAAGATGAGGCAGTCTGCTTCTGTAATGATTTATAGCTTTGGAAACCCTATGGGGCAGTTCTGCTTGGTCCTGTAGGTGGCTGTGAGTTGAAATCGACTGGATGACAGTGGGTGGGTATTCTCACCTTCTCTACTCCCCTACGCACTCTTTTAATGCCTTTCTTTATTCCAGTTGCGCTAAACTTTTATGATTGTATGCCTTGGTACAGCAGTCCTTGGGTGATCTTTTCAATCTAGAATTCATACCCTTCAAGTTAGAAATTTTTCTTGACTGGTTTATAAATTCTTCTTCATTTTCTCTATTCATATATTTCTTCAACTTTTATTACTTGACTGTTAGACCTGATTTTCTTTTTGTCTTTTATCTCCTATTATGGTCTTCTCTGTCTTCTTATTCTACTTTCTGGGGGAAGATTTTTTCCACTTTTTTGTCCAACATCAGAATCAATGGCAGTGGGTTTGGTTTTTGGGGGTTTTCTATTGAATTTTTTTAATATATGCCATCATATTTTTAATTTGTAAGAGCTCTTTTGTTCTCTGATCCTTTAAAAAATAACTTCCTGATATTCTTGTATGAAACTAGCATCTTGTCAAGATATTAAAAACATTGGCTTTTTGAAGTTTTTTTTTTTTTTCAGTTGTCTGTATTCTTTCTTTCTTCTGCTTCATGTCTTTGATGTTGAAAATTTCCTTAAGTGTACTTTTTTTGACTATGTCTTCTGCCTCAGCTACTACCCTTTGCATCTGCTGGAAAGTGTTACCATCTCTTTCTTTCCTCTTCTCTTTATTGTTGTGGCGCTTAGACTTGTTTAATTCTTTTAGTAGTACTCTGAGTTTGTGTATGTGTAAAGGAGTGAAGAGAATATAAACACTGTATATAACACATCATGTTTAATTGGAACGGGTTTTATTTTTTAAACAGCCTTATGCATTTGTTAAATTATTTCTCTCTGACGGATTCTGAGAAATAGAATTGCTGGAGTAGATGTTTGGGATTTTTTCTGGTATATTTTTCTTCTTTTTTTAAAATTGTGGTTTGGATGAAGTTTATAGAGCAAATTGGTCTTCCATTCAACAATCTATACACATTCTGTTTTGTGACATTTACTGCAATCCCCACACTGAACAGCATTCTTCCCACTTCCTCCCAGAGACCACCCCTTCGCTTTGTTCTTCCTTCCCATCCTTTTCACCTTCTTCACTCTAACCCTGGACAAATGCTGTCCTTTTGATCTCATATGCTTGATTGTTGTAATGAGTGCTTACCCTTCTGATACTACTGTTCACCTTATAGATCTGTCATTTGGTTGCCAGTTAATTCGTGGAGGTTAAATTCAGTTCCTAGCTTGAATGGTATCTAAGGACCATAGTCTCAAGGGTTCCACCAGTCCCCATCAGATCACTAAGCCATGTCTTTTTTATGATTTTGAGTTTTGTTCCACATTTTCCCCTAGTCTATCTAGGGCACCTCTTATTGTGATCCCTTTCAGAGAGGCCAGCAGTGGTAGCCTGGAACCATCTAGTTCTTCTGGTCTCAAGGTTGTGGAGGATGGCATTCATTTGCTCCATTAGTCCTTTGGACTAATCATTTCCTGTGTCTTTGATTTTCTTCACTGTTCTTTGCTCTGGATGGGGAGAGATGTTTTGGGTATTTTTATTTTGATGAATACTGAATAAGATGTCTTTCTGATCAATTATTACTTATAAAATTATGTGTGAGTAGTAGTAATTTACTTTTTTTCTTTTTTCTTGTATTTTGCCTATAGGTTTCAAAAACTTTTAACAAACAAGTGACCCACGTTATATTCAAAGATGGATACCAGAGCACTTGGGACAAAGCGCAGAAGAAAGGGATAAAGCTTGTTTCAGTGCTCTGGGTTGAAAAGTAAGATGTTTCTTTTCCTTTTCTTAATTGTTTAGTATTTGTAAAATGAGGAGTTATTTTGATGGACCTCAGAACCAGATAAAGTTTCTGTCTTTGCTCTGCCTCTTACTTGGCCAAGTGACTTAACATCTTTATGCCTCAAATTTTGCAGCTGAAAAATGGATATCAAGATATAATACTTCAGTCTTTGCCTACAAGGAAAATTAGTGCAGAGGCCCAGAGGCAGGGATGAGTTTGGTGTCTTCAGGAACCAGTAAGGAAGCCACTGTAATGCAGAAGAGTGGTAAATGGGAAGATAATTTAGAGTCTGAGGTCAGAGAAGTAGTGAGGCAACATTGTATAGGATCTGGAAGGATATAAAGCAGAAGAGCAGTGTGTAGAGGTTAGAGGGAGCAAAGATAGAAGAAGAGAGAATAGTTAGGAGGCCACTGATTAAGGTAGTGAGGAATGGATTTATTGAGGACTTGGATGTGAGTTTATATAGAAAGGAAGGAGTCAATTACAACTGCAAGGTTTTTGCCTTAAGGAACTAGAAACATGGGAAGGCCTTCTTAAGGACTAGATTTTTTGGGGTGAGGAGAAGAATCTGGGGTTCAATTTTGGACATATTGGACATCTGCTAGACATCTATGTGTAGATGTCAAGTAGGCAGTATGATATATGAGTTTGGAGTTCAGAAGGTAGATCTAGGTTGGAAATAAAAATATGTTTGTCATTGATAGATAACCCTACAGATAAATAAGATGTGCTATTTAAAGCCATAAAACTGGGTGAAATCCCTTAGGGAGTGAATATAAATAAAGGAAGAAGTTACATGATTGTGTGTATAGAGTTTGAGGAGGAACTAACTGGCAAAGGAAACTGACAAGGAGCAGCTAGAAGGTTTTTCAAGGAAGTGATAATCATCAACTTAAATAAGTAGCATAAAATGAGGTATAAAATATTACCACTAGATTTAACAACATGGAAGTCATTGGTGAAAAACAGTTTTGGTGGAGTAGTGGGAGCAAATGATACTGGTTTAATAGGAGTTGGGAATAGTGGGATTGGAAACAATGCATATAGATACATTTTTGATGGGGAGCAGAGCAATGAGGCAGTACCTGTAGGGAAATGTGCAGTGGAGTTTATTTAAGGTGGGATAAATTAAGTCAGTATGCTGACAGACCTGATCCAGTAGAGAAGAAAAATGTAATGATGCAGAAGAATTTGCTTGTGTAAATGATGTGAGAGGATTGACAGGATTGTTCTAGGTAACGTACAGCTTATAGAGAAACAAAAACAGGTCGTTCATATCAATGGGAAATGCAGAATGTATTAAGCACAGATGCTATTAAGTGAGTAGGTGTGGCGATCAGACCTTGTGGAAATTCTTTTGATTTTTTTTGAATATGCAAATACTCATAGCAACTCTATTTGTAATAGTCCCAAACTAGAAAGAATCCACATGTTCTTCAACAAGTGAATGGATAAATTGCAATATATCTATACAATGAAATACTACTCAGCAATAAAAAAGAATAAGGTATTAACATACCCATAAATCTTGATAAAAGTCAAAATGATTTCACTGAATGATAAAACTCAGACAAAAAGAATAAATATTGTGTAAATGCATGTATAAAAAACTCTAGAAAATATAAACTAACCTATAGTTGTAGAAAGCAGATCAGTGATTACATAGGAAAGGAAAGGGGTAAGGGCAAGGTGATTAAGGTGCCTTACTAAGCTTTTGGGGGGTGTGGGATGTGTTTACTGTCTTCTTTTTTTAAAAAATTGCATTTTATTGAAATACAATTTATGTACAGTGAAATATACAAAACTAAGGTGACATGGATCAGTGCATTTTTTTTTTTTTTTTTTGCACTGTTTCCTCCCCTCCTACCCCTGGCAACCAGCAAAGAAAGTTTCCTTCCATATATAAATCTTTCCTTGACTTTTTACAGTAATGAATTGATACTATATTTGTTCCTCTGTGATTGACTTATTTCACTCAGCATAATGTCCTCCAAGTTCATCCATGTTATGTGGTATTTTGCAGACTCTACATTATTCTTTAGTGCTGCATAGCATTCCATTTTGTGCATGTACCATCGTTTGGTCATCCACTCTTCCGTTGATGGGCACGTAGGTTGTTTCCATCTTTTTGCTATTGTAAATCGTGCTGTGATGAACATGAGCATGCATGTATCTGTTGCTATCCTGGCTCTCACCTCTCTAGGATATACCTAGTAATGGGATTTCTGGGTCAAATGGTATCTCCAATTCCAGCTTTCTAAGAAATTGCCATACTGCTTTCCACAGTAGTTGTATCAGTTTACAGTCCCACCAGTGATGAATGAGAGTCCTAATCTCTCCACATCCCCACCACATTTGTTATTTTCTGTGTCATTGAACCTTGCCATCAGGGCTGGGGTGAGATGGTATCTCATTGTTTTGATTTGCATCTCTCTGATGGCCAATGATCGTGAGCATTTCTTTATGTGTGTGCTGGCCACCTGAATATCCTCCTTGGTGAAGTGTCTATTCATGTCTTCTGCCTATTTTTCAATTGGATTGTTAATTCCTTTGGTGTTGAGGCATTGGAGTTTTCTATAAACCTTAGAGATAAGTCCCTTGTCATATATGTAATTATTGACAAGTATGAATTTGTTGCTGTCAGTTTCTTGTGCTTTTTCGTAGTGTTGATTTCTTTGTTCCATATAATTTTCTGTACTGAGCTTGTTTTGTTTATGAATCATGTTATCACTTCCTTCGTTGTTACTGTTTTAGTATTTGTTAAATATTTGTGCTGTTCCTCTTTTTAAATTTGATGTGAAGGTTTATCATTTTTCTTTGAGGTTACCCTGTGATTTATAGTTTTCTTCCCAAGTTCAGAACTGTCCTATCTTGTAGTTGTCTTGACTTCCCTACCATCTAGAAATTCTGTAACTACACAATTTTTTCCAATTTGTAGTTGTCCTCATTTGTCATTTGGTGTCTCTGGTTCCCTGTTTACAATCTTGTAGGTTTATTTACTTTGGATACTTCCATAGCTGGGTTGGTTTCTGGGTTAGGTCATCATGTGTTTTAATGACCAGTTGTTGTTTGCTGATGCTTCTCTGTCCCAGGACTCCCTTTAGCATCTCTTGTAAGATTGGTCTAGTTTTAACAAATTCCCTTAATTTCTGCTTCTCTGGAAATGTCCTAATTTCACATCATATTTGAGTGAGGGACAATTTTGCTTGGTATATAATTCTTGGTTGGAAATTTTTCTCATTCAGTGTTTTGTATATACCATCCCATTGCCTTCTTGCCTGCATGGTTTCTGCTGAGAAATCTGAGCTTATTCTTATTGGTTGCCTCTTTTAGGTAACTTTTCGTTTTTCCCATGATACTTTCAGAATTCTTTCTTTGTCTTTGGTTTTGGTGAGTTTGATGATAATGTGTCTTGGTGATTTTCTTTTGGGGTCTATCCTTTTTGGGGTTCGTTGGACTTCTTGAATGGATGTTTTCTTATCTTTCATCACACCAGAAAAATTCTGTTCCAACAAATCTTGGACAATTTTCTCTGTGGTTTTATTTGTCTCTTCCTGTTCTGGAATCTGATTACACGTAGATTATTCCTTCTGATAGTATCCCACATGAACCTTACTTAGCTTTCTTCATTTTACTTTAATCTTTGTTCTGATTGATACCTTTCCAAAGACGTATTGAGGTATTTGCCTTCAGTGTCACTAATTTTGTCTTGCATTGATTCAATTCTACTCCTTTGCCTGTTCAATGAGTTATCTATTTCTGAAAATTTAGTATTAATCTTCTGGATTTTTGTCTGTAGATTTTGTATCATTTCTCGTTTTTTATTTATTTTGTCATTTTGTTCGTGTATTGTTTCTTGAAATTGTTGTAGGGTTTTCTCTGTGTTTTCCTCAATTTTGTCAGTGTTTTCCTTGATCTGTCTCCTGATATGTTGAAGGTACCTAAATGTAATTCTTTTGAATTCCTTATTAGGGAGTTCCAATGCTGCATCTTCTTCAGGGATGTGTTTTGGGTCTGTATCCTGGTCCTTTGTTTCTCGTGCTTTATTTTGCTTCTTTGTGTGGATTGTGTGGATTTTGTGTTTATATTTAATTGGTGATTGTATGTTGGAGTAACCTGCCCATGGTTTTTGTTTTCTTTGTATTTTATATGGGTAAGCAGGGTACTGTGCTGTGCTCCTCTGTTCACTAGGTTGGCAGCACCTGTCTCCTTTCCTGTTATCAGCCTCCCGTATGGCCCTGCTGTCCTTGGCAAACAGAGACTATTCTTAGGTCCCTGGAATCTGAATGAAAATGCTGTAACTTTAGAATCCAAAATGGTCATCACTTGTAAAGATTCAAAATTGCTGCACCCTTGGTCACTTTAAATATACAAAATGGCCACCACTTATAAACATTCAAAATGGCTGCACCCTCCTAATAGCTGAAAGTCCACAGCTCAGGTTGTTTCCCTCACTGTTGTTTCCCTTCCTAGTCAGAGGCCACCAGCTCAGTTGTCCCTGCAGCCCTTGGTGACTAGGGCTGATCTTGAGGTCAGATCTCGGGTCCCAACACCACTTGGAAACATTTAGGTTGTTGGTGCCATCAGAGTAGCTGAGAGTCTACTTCTCTGACTGTCTCCGTACTTACTGTTTTCATTCAGGTTTTTCCACTAGTCGTTGCCTAATCCATTTCTGTATCCTTCCTTCCAAAACTGAGAGCTCCAGGATTACTTCTGTATCTCTGTCAATTGGTTGCTCTTTTCTTCATTGAAGAGGGTTTGTAGAGCTTGTCTGCCTATTCTGCTATCTTACTGGAAGTGTCTATTTTGATTGTTTATACTGAGTTAAACAGGAGTGTGATTATCATCTGAGATGAGAATCGGGGGGTAGATTTTGGAATTTTGAAGAAAATAGTTAGCTGAGAATGTGGAGAGTGGAATGGGATTAGGGAATTTTCATAAAGTCACTGGGCAGTACTGACAGCTCACTTAAGGTTACCAGA